CGTCGGATTGATTCTGCCACCTATTCGAACAATTCTGGCAGCAGAGTTTTTTTTTAAGGAAAATCAACACACGTTACGAAGCGGTGATCGAATAGTTTTCAACGGTTCCAACCCCTTTTTCCATAGAACAAACAAGAAAAAAAAACTGAGAAAATAAAAAAAGGATAAAGCATTTGCCGTTGATCAATCCCTTTTTGGGATGCGGCACGCATTCTACTTCCATTTGTACATTCGTAGTGGCGTTTGAATGCGATGTGGCCTATACAATGACTTGCGGGGCCAGCCGATGTACAAGTCAGTGTTTTTATCCTCCCAGACAAGTCTGGTACCAATTAACCGACCCCGGGATGGAAGGCTTGGTTGGCCCGGGCGACTCACGACCCAGGATTTGATCCCCGGACCGCTCGCGTGGTAAGCGTGCCACTTGCCACTACACCACTTCCGCCCAGGAAAATAAGAAAAAATCATGCACAAAAAGAATGGAATAACGGGACTGGTTTTTGGAACTCTTCAGAAGTTTGAGTCTATTTTCGAGAGTTCCAACCTCGTACCTTTTCTTTTTCAAAAGACCTCCATGAAGTACTCCGAAGATGGTTCGAAGATGTGCTAGTGACAGATGTTAACTTTTACAGGCCCCGTTGGTCCTCATAATAGACAGTTTTTCCCCAGAGTGAGCTTGTAAACATTAAAACGCTGGGAATCCAAAAAGAACTATTGTGAAAAAAAATGTTTACGAGGAATGCTCAATTGGTCAGTCCGGCCATTTGTAATGAGGTGTAGTCCGCTACTCGTCTTGCGACGCTGAGCTCAAATCCGTTTTCGGTATCTGCGGAACGATTCTCTGAAGAAGTTACTGAGGATTCTTCCCACTGTGGCGCCCTCTACATCCTCCCATCCCGCTCGTTTCGCTCAAGTTGAGCCGGGAGAAAATCAGTCGGGCTTGGTGGTGTAGAGGATAGCACGCCTTCATAGTGGGGTCGCATGTTCGAATCCTTGGGCATGGCGAACTTTTGCATTTTTCAGGGCTCCTCATACGAACCCAAAATGTGTTTATATTTGTTATTTTGTTGCGTCCCCCTTTTACATCTGGAGAGGCAGACTCTGGAATCTCCTTCTCGTGCTCATTTTTTTAGTTCTTTATGATGAACTTTGACAGACAGAAGACTCATAAATACACAGATTTAGAAAGCAGAGAAAAAAAACAGAAAATCCCATATACGGATTATAACAAATAAGGAAATCCTGAAAAGAAATAAAATTGATGAAAATAGGTTTGTTCGCTCGAAGTTCTGATCTTTCCTAATTACCTAATATGACCAACTCCACGTAAGTGGTTACGGTAACGTGGGGACGCAAATTAACAAAATAACAATATAAACACTTTTTGGGTTCGTATGAGGAGCTCTGAAAAAATGCAAAAGCGAGCGCAAAAAATGCATGCCCAACGATTCAAATATGTAACCTCACCCATACGAGGCAACGTGCTATCCACCACACCACCATGCCCACCGAATGATTTCCTCCCGGCTCAACTGAGCGAAGCAAGCGGGTTGAGAGGATGTAGAGGGCGCCACAGTGAGAAGAATCCCTCATAACTTCTTCAGAGAATCGTTCCAGCAGATACCGAAAACGGATTTGAGCTCAGCGTCGCAAGACGAGTACAGCGGACTACACCTCATTACAAATGGCCGGACTGACCAATTGAGCATTCCTCGTTAGAAGAATGGCCAGGATAAGGACTCGGGGGCTACTCGCTCTGAGGAATCCGTTAGTAATACTAGAGAGAGGAGAGAGAAAATAGCCTCAGCGAAACTCAAAAAAAGAAAACCTGGGTTTTACCATCACAATCAATCGTGTTCGAAAAGAGAACTCTAACCTTTCATAAGTCTTTCCATCTACGCCTATAGCTGTCTGTTGCAGATCGAATTGACTGTAATAATCAATCATTTTCACAATGGTCTCAGCGACCGAAATATCTTGCAGCTCGCGGGCATAAATGTGCTCGGCATCGACCTGAAATCCGATTGATAAAAAAAATGAAAAAAAATTGCAGCGACATTAGTTTCCCCTCCCAAAAAAGCCAAGAAAAAAAAACAGATTTTCATGACCATTCACCCACGATCAGGACCGACACTCATTCTTAACTTACAAGTAGTACGCAAAAATTGCAACAATTGGGGAAGAGGGGGGGGGCTGTTCGTGTGCTGGTTGGACGAGTAAGGGAAGATTGAGGCAGAGCCAAATTTTTGGAATTGACGTCAGCACAGAACTATGCGTTAGGATTGGCGAAGGAACTCCAGCGCGTAACAATCTTCATTTGATCCGAAAAAAGCTCTCCACCCCAAGGTTTAGCCCTAACCTGGGAAGACATTCAACTTCCCATTAAACTTCCAATGAAGACCTGGGTTAATCGATACGGCGTTAGTTACAAATATGAAAACCAAAATTGCAAAAGAAACCTGCAAACTAGTTGTGAGCAGCCAAAATTGGTTGGAATTGAAGCGTTTCTCAGGGCCGAACTATCCTATGTCTATGGGCTTAGAGGTAGCGAGTGATGTGAGTAGTGATGGTAGGCACATGCTCTGCAAGCGGTGAACCGTAGATTTTCGCCCCAGCGGTGCACAAATTTTGCCTTTCGTATTTTATATGCTATGCAGCAGTTGGGCGGAAGTGGTGTAGTGGCAAGTGGCACGCTTACCACGCGAGCGGTCCGGGGATCAAATCCTGGGTCGTGAGTCGCCCGGGCCAACCAAGCCTTCCATCCCTCCGGGGTCGGTTAAATTGGTACCAGACTTGTCTGGGAGGATAAAAACACCTAGCGGTGAACTCAACCACTCCCAGAAGCAAACAGGCTAAAATAGGATCTCAGGTTTTTCGCACAGATTCTCTTGCTTTTTTTACATGCGCACCACTTGACACCTCTACATTCAAACTCCAACGATATCAGCTCGTCGTAAGAGATGCCTTTAAAGTCGCCACTTCCAACGACTCCATCTGTCATGCTGTCATGCTCAAATTGAAGCGCACTGATTCATTCGAAAAGCAACCCCTTCACACAGCAAAAAAGTCCGCTCATTGGTTAATCTCCATTGATCCTCATAAGCCGAGATGGCCATTTATTATTTGAGTCCTTTTTCCACACATGACATGGAAATCTTTCTTCCTTAACACGTCTGAGACCGCGCATGTTTTACGGTTTTGCGCTCGCTTAAAACTTCATCGAATTTTTAGGAATCTCAAAAAAAAAAACAGTTGGGAACAAAAACCTACTGAGTGATGCAGAAGAAACATTATCGAATGGAATGAGAAAGAAAAAAAGAAGACCTAATCCTGCTTCCGTAATGAGGCCTGAAAGGTCCTACGTAATCGAAGGACTGCAGTCCGCATATGAGCTGCATGGGCTCCAATGAGTTAAAATCTTGATATTTCATTCTGTCCCAAACTAAATTTTGCCAGCTCCCATGTACTGACGTAATCCCCCATTTGGCCATTCGCCCTATGCTTTGAAGGAACTCGGAACCTAAAACATGCAGGCATCCATGGTACTGCACTATATGTGACGTGCTGTGATAACATCCCGTCACTACTTTAGTGCTCGTAATGCGTGTAGTTCAACTGAAGCAAAAAAATAGAGAAAAATACATGCACATACCTCCGCAGTTAAAAGCTTAGCCACAGTGCGCCATGAAAACGAAGGATGCAGTTGTGGGTGGAGAGTGAACAGGTCCGGACAGAACGACATTGGAGCAGACTTGAAAAAATAGGTTTCCAATAAGTATTCATCAATAAATAACCAAGTTCGAATTAACTATTGCTTCTCTGATTCCTAATAATTCCGTTTTCCTGCTAACACTAAGGAAAACACATAAGTATCCCTCGAAACATTTGTTTTCAAATTGCTCGGATGGTGATCATGAGCATTGATCGGACAGAGAAAGTAAGATAGAAAAATGGGCTGAGAAAGACCGCATATGACAGGGAGCAGCGTATAAGGCACTACCGCAAGTTGACCTTTATCTCTATGAGATAATAGAGGTGCGCCACACAGCATGAATAATAAAAATAAGTGCATATGTTAAATATAAAAGCAGGAAAACGTTCCAATGCAAATAAATTCAAACATTTAATGCCGGGTTTGGTTAAAATGAAAAGTACAAACCAGCAGATTCACTCGGAAGTATACCGAACCATTTCTGATTAACTCTTAACGAGATTTCTTTGGGTTCAAATAAAATGAAAACTTCCGAAAACCTAATGTGATGTCGCTTCGAGCCATAAACCCACCTTTATCAACACTCCACATTAATAATTGCAACGTCATTTTGATTTTCGACTAGGAAAACTTACATGGGTACTTTTGCAACAAAAAAATGTCAGCTAAATCGAAGGAAAGATATGGCGCACTGATCGCGAAGCGTTGATGAATTTTGTACACGTTTCCGACAGAGTACTAAAAACAAGTGGCCGTGGAGCAAACGCCGGAAGGACAGAAAGTTAAGCGTGAAATCTGCAGCAAGAGAGTAGCAGTGAATAAGTAATGGAACGAAGTGGAAATTCCCATGAATAGCGTGAAAGACGCAATCGCTGCTCTTTAGTTTTGCAAGTGAATAAAATTTACACATTTCAAGCGAGAATGGTGATACCTGGCACTCCCTCCAGATTACCATAAAGTCACAAACTATACCGCTCCCTAACTCACCCCGCCAGTTCGAGAATGAATCTTGACCAACTATTCCCGATTAGATTATTCGTGAGAATAATTTTGAACAAAATAATTACCTGAAGGAAGTGTAAAGCCAGCATGTTGAGATGATAGGAGGAAAAAAGTCCATTACGGCTGTCTTTCAGCTTAATCAGATCGAAAAAGGAATTGATCCAGTGAATGACAATGGGCACGACTATACTCCACTGTAAAAATCTACTGCTAGTTTAGTCAGCAAAAGGAAATTACACAGACTAGACTCAAACTAACAAACCTCAACACATGTTTTAACAAAAAGCGAAGAACGAATAGAACCAACGTTGTTGAATTGAAGGTCGACACTAGTTCCATCACGACTGCGGAACTTCACTATTGGCACCTCAATGACACCTCATTAAATATCAAATCGTAAAGCGTTGAAAAAATGCAAAGGACAAATCTTCCAACGTCAAACGCAAAACCGCGCCCAGATAAACGTGCAGGTAAGTTTTCGCGCGAATATGAAGGTGCTTCACCTGAGTAAACTATTCAACGGTTGCGCTTCACTAAAATGCCACCATTTCCTTATACTTCCACCATTTAAACACTTTTCTTGGCAAAATGGTAGAATCTCTGAAAGGAATCCTCAAACTAATGTTAGCAATTCAGCGTTTATTCCAATTTACGCGTGCAACGACATTTTCGGGTTCGAAATCCCGTTTATCTGGACTATCAGAGACATGATTTTTTGCATTTAGTGAATGTATTTGTGGAATGAGACTTGTCACTTCCAATTGCTTAATCTACGGGCGGTATTCAGATTTAATTCTGTCTTTATAAAAGCTTTTTAGAGAGACTGATCTGGCCTTTTTGTAGAGCATCCTTTCTCCTATTATTATGTAAGCTTCATCATCAGAAATCTGCTGATGAATAAATGAATAAATAAAATAAATCTCAATTATCAATTAGGCCCCTAGAAGACTGGGGAAGGAGGTATCAGTAGCGAGAGAACGATAGTGCATGTTTACTTTTGAAATCATTGGTTGCGATCAAAGGCAAAGTACGGGATCAATGGGACGTGTTATTACGCTCGTAAATGACAGTGAAGATGTGAAGGGAAACGTAATAATAATGAAAGAGAAAGAGGCCATTGACAAGGACGAAAACGAGGTCGTGATCTCCTCTACAGTAGTGGCGAAGCGAATAACATTGATTTGTAGGTGGGGTAGATGGTCTTGGGCAGGGCAATGTTACAACCTGGGTCCTTAACGCCGCAGGCCTGTAAAATCATCCCGACATTTGTGTACATGCTCCCCGTTTGCGTACACTAAGTTCTTCTCGGGAATGACACAATTCCGACCAGAAATCCCAGACCTTGCCTTCGAATCCTCAGAGTCCTTAAGTGAGTAACAGAACCTCTAAGCGGAATCAGAGTGAAAATCGGTCGGGGATCTCGAGAATTTTCGTTTGCTTAGCCACGCTCCCCGCACTCGTCCACTCTCGACACTTTCCTCATACAGTACAGAGCCTTCGTCGAAGATTTTCTCAATCATTATTCACAATGCCCCTAATCGCAGGGGTGGTAGAACTGTCGCGAAAGAAAGTGCGCGAACTGCTAATGTCTTCGATTGATCGCTGCAACTGCTGCCATTCCTATGCACGCGTGAAGTCTGCGCCTTTTCGCGTACGACGTGCTCTCCCCATTTTCCCACTCCTCTCAGCGCTGTATGTACAACACAGAACTTACAAGAGAAATTTCAGTGTTATCTGTGGTGATTTTGCTGTTTCCACAAACGTTCCAAAATGATGAGCCCTAATAAGAGCACTAAAACGTTACGGGGCGTATTAACAATGAGTAAGAGAAGAAAAAATATCTTTCCTCTCAGTTTTAGCCATTTCATACCAGTTTTAGGACCGTTGTCAACCATCGCGTGAAAATCCAAACAGAAAAGCACGTGCGTCGCGCTTTTCTAAGGCTAGGCTTTCACAAGAAAGCAAAGAAAAGAAAACTGCGTAATAGTGTGCATGGGTGAAAGTGCCCAGATAACATTTCAAAACGCTGAAACACCATTGCTTCGCAATTGCTAAGTACCCTAGGACGGTCATTGGTGACCAGTAATTTAAAAGGAATCGAGTGATATGCGTGCAAGGTAAGGGGCTCTAATTGAACAGTAGCTGACAAAACAGCCACCCACAAGAATGCGCTTCGGAACAATGTCTGGATTTGGTCATCATGAGATTAAAATTCGTTCCAAAGTTAATAAAATAAAAAATGATAAAGCATTTCCCAGACAAGTCTGGTACCAATTAACCGACCCCGGAGGGATGGAAGGCTTGGTTGGCCCGGGCGACTCACGACCCAGGATTTGATCCCCGGACCGCTCGCGTGGTAAGCGTGCCACTTGCCACTACACCACTTCCGCCCTTCCAAGTTACTATTTCAAATCCAACCAATGGCAAGTATGGTACACAAAGAGCATTTAACCCCAAGGATTCAAGAACTTATGTGGAGATCACTTCCGCATAATGTTTATAATGACATATAGATGGGACACTGTGTAAACTACGCAAAAGTCCTTAGCAGTACAGATCACTTACGTTACAAAATACAAGTTTTTGGACTGACCCCGCTTGAACAAGCTTAGATCCGTTCAGAATAACAGCAACTTTATTCATCTGAGCGCTGAAACTTCTTAATTAGCCAGAAAAAGAATTGGCAAACAATAGATCATTAGCACTACCTTCTGAAGCTCTCGACGTTCACAAATTTTCTGTCGAACTCTGCTCTTCTATCAGCATCTTCGTGAGTGATAAGAACCTAAAAGGTAACCGAGAGAAACGTGTAATATCCTGCAAAAAGATTGAGAACAACTAACAACGTCCAGATCAGAATTGTCCTTCTTCAGCCCATTCACACAGCTACCAATTGGAACAACAGTTTGTCCGCTACGCGAGAACAACTTTTCCAGCTTCCATAAGTATTGTATTGTCTAAATAGACAATGACCATTAGGAAACATTTGCGACCGCGACCGACTGAAACTGGAACTGAGGTGCAAAGTACCATAAAAGTGTTGGACTACTCGACTGCTTGCTACACAGTGTGGGTCGGAGTACTGTCACGTTGGCCGATTCGAATTCTCGACCCCTTCTCCCCCTGGAGGAGGTTTCGTTGCTATGAATCGCGTAGGACCGTCGATTCTTAACGTTACTTACTCACCCTTAATAACCTGAGGCGTCGAGTAGGCAACACTACTTTCGGAGTTCCCCTTAACTAAAAGAATACGCCCAAATGACTCAAATAGTATTCGGACCCCACAACACGTCCCATGACGTCCAGCTGTCGATGATGCTCAGGAACGTCGTGATCCTGCCACTCAGGACAAACCCTAACTTCGCTCTCAAATTTCCTCCAATGTTGGCGTCGAACGAGTGAGAGGTAGATACAGCTTATGAGATAGCAAAATTTTTAGATCTTCGTCCATTTCAGCATATTTCTTTTACCCCATGACCCTTCTTTGAATACTCAAATACGACTCCCTTCTCGAGGAAATCAGGACGTTTGATCCTGCGTCGAATTACAAAATCAATTTTGGATAACGCGAACAAAAAATGGCAACGCATCACGAACTCACTTTGGAATAAGACTTGCAGAAGTTATACGTGCGCTGCTGCTGTGCTTTCAAAAGTTCTGCTTCCCACCGATTAAGCCTCTTACAGTGCTTCTGAATAAATTCATCACTGAATTGAAAGTCGATGGCGGGAGTTACGTGAGTTGAGCGTGATGAAAATGCTGAACTACATTACCACGTAATGCAAGAAGTGCTTTCACGAAACTATAGCCTCACCTTTGCTCAAGTACAGCGCCACTGTCCGCTTCATTGAAAAAGACAGAAGAGTTGAAGACTTTTAACGTCGACAAGGCGTCCACAACTCTCACTCCTCAACCAATGCGCTCTTGCTCAACACTGCTACAATAATACCAGCAGAGCAAGAAAAACTTTTTCCAACCGCGAACCGTGGATTAGTAGTTCTCATGTGTGTTTGCAGAAAGTGCACCACGAAAGGCGACTCAACACAATTCTTGGTTAGGCATTGTTCACAGTTTTCGAATCATCCGAATATTCGAATTCGCGAAAAGAATTTATACGTATCGACCAGGAGAATTTCCGCACGCGCGAACGCGGATGCGAAAAGGTTTAGATACGTATCGACGTAGTAAACCACGCCCTATTAGCGTTGCTAGAGGATTTTCGCACCGCCGTTTCGATGCTGCGATCTCCGATTGACTGATCGATAGACACCCATTCCTTTTAAAAGGATTCGCAGATTCCAATGCGCGATTCGATGCTCCTCCCATTTTGTGGATCGATACGCATTTCATTCATTTCGCATTTGCGCAGATTCGTTCGTTTTGAGCGTCCTTCGGCTGTGGCGCAAGGTGTGAACAGTGCCTTAAGGCCTGTTCAGAGATGTCCGCTTACGCGAAAAAACGCGTATGCGAAACAATGTGAAATATGTATCGACTGAGCGAAGACGCACGGAGAATCGTGAAGTGGGAGGATCGACGAAAATGAGTTACCGCATCGAGTTCCGAAGATTCAAAAAGCGCGTCGGCCAGCGATTTGTCCCGAGCGAGCTCTAACAACTCGCTAGCATATTCGAATCTCGACCTGAAAATTCGCCTACTCGTGTAAGAGATGAAGGACGCGGAGAAATAGTCTATAAAATACAATAATTATCAAATAAACTACTAATTAAGGTGGTAATAGACCAACAGTAAACTCCCTAGCCATTTATTCCTTTGTCCCCCCTTTTCAGGCGGTTTCTCCTTACAAGTAGCCGTCTGGCACGAGAGAGTATGTCGGGATGAGAGGCAGATAGTGCGAGAGCATACTGTAGTGACTCATCTGATGCTTCGTACTTAAGGCTTCCGATCGTCGACCTCGAGAGAGATCTCCGCTGCAACGACTCGCCTCCGGCCTGCGCCTCCGTCGCCCCTTGATCTCCTTCGGATCGTCACCTCTGGGCCCTAACGCCTCCGCTGAAGACATTCGACTGGACTGATCTCGAAGTCAGCATTAATAATAAAACTGACTATATTCTCGACTTAACTATCAGAAGCAATCGGTCCGAGCGAGGTGGTTCGTCGCACTATCGGACTGGTACAAAGCGAGTGGTTCAATGACGCCAGCTTTGCGTTGCTTGCTGAGTTGAATCAATCGGGCAAAGCTGTTGCTTGTAACGAACGTTGGAGTCGCTGTCGCACCAGAGCTTCAGCTCGCCAATTTTGCCAATCTGACGCCTGCATCAAACCGTCACTACTGCAGCCATATGGATCACACAACTGCCGGTAATGTGAACAGGAATTCGTAGGCATTTCGCAATCGCTCATACTCGGCCAGTAATATGTGCGAGCTAACCACCTCGCTCGGACCGACTGCTTCTGATAGTTAAGTCGAGAATATAGTCAGTTTTATTATTAATGCTGACTTCGAGATCAGTCCAGTCGAATATCTTCAGCGGAGGCGTTAGGGCCCAGAGGTGACGATCCGAAGGAGATCAAGGGGCGACGGAGGCGCAGGCCGGAGGCGAGTCGTTGCAGCGGAGATCTCTCTCGAGGTCGACGATCGGAAGCCTTAAGTACGAAGCATCAGATGAGTCACTACAGTATGCTCTCGCACTATCTGCCTCTCATCCCGACATACTCTCTCGTGCCAGACGGCTACTTGTAAGGAGGAACCGCAGCAGCCGGGCTCCTTCTGAAGGGGACAAAAGCGTGAAAAAAATAATGGCTAGAGTTTACTAGTTGGTCTATTACCACCTTAATTAGTAGTTTATTTGATAATTAGTGTATTTTATGACTTTCTCGCGTCCTTTCACTCTCTTACACGAGTAGGCGAATTTCAGTCGAGATTCGATATGTATCGATTGTTAGAGACGGTCGGGCGAAAAATCGCGAGCGCGAATCTTCGGAACTCGATGCGGTAACTCATTTTCGTCGATCCTCCCACTTCACGATTCTCCGTGCGTCTTCGCTCAGTCGATACATATTTCACATTGTTTCGCATATGCGTTTTTTCGCGTAAGCGGACATCTCTGAACAAGGCCTAAGACACGACGGCAGAACGGTTGCGGGCCCATAGGAGGATGTCCCAGTAGGATGTCCTAGTGGGGAGAGGCCCATCAAAGACTGCTCGTGTGGCCGTGCTTACACCTGGTGAGGGCGACGTTGAGACGATGTGGTTCGTTGAGGAACTCTCCTCGATCAGCATCGAATCCGGTACGCGTGGTGAGAAGGATGATGATGTCCTTTTCACGACCCTGCACGGAGTCGACCGTGTGTAAATCGACCTCGTGGTTCTTGGCGAATTGCGCTAGCACGCGTAGTGTTCCTTATAGAAAGCGATGATGGCAAGGGAGGACGGGGAGATGCCATTCCGTAGTAATGCCAACACGATTTGACGACAGACTTCAGCTTCGGTGGTGTTGCTGTGGGAGCCGCTCAACGATTTCGCGGATGTGCCGGGCACGTCGACAACAGGAACGGTAGCTTCGGGTTCGGACAGCGTACGAACGAGAGGAAAGGCTGGTTCAGGAATTTGAGACGCCTCGTCGCCAATTATCGTGGTGAAGTTGCCCAGCTTACCATGAAAGATGCCGTCCGCCGCAACCGAGTTAAGGAAGGCCGACGTTGTAATGCAAAGGACCGCTGGTGGACGAACGCGGAACATAATGTCGACCGTGTCATGCGTCAGTTGGAGATGTCACGCTCCGCCAGCCGGTATTCGTCACGTTCGCGTCCGACATGTCGATGGCCAGATCCCGATCGAACATGAGACGCTCGAGAAGTTCCCGGCCTCGCTTGTACCTAACGCAGGTCTCCAGAGCCTTGTCCGACAGGACCGTCGCATAGTCGACCGCAAGACGCTTGAGAACGGTGTGGAGATCGATCGGAGTTTGGGGGGCACCGTCGATCAATGCCGTGTCGGAGACGTACCGCAAGATGGGTAGATTTTGTAGTCGTCAAGCCGTAACAAGGTGTCAGTAAACTGGGCCACAGCGTTGTTGGTCGTGGTAGTGGCGATTACACCTTGGTGGAGGGAAGCGTACGTGCGGGCTGCAATGAGCGCCCCGACTACGGTTTTCCCAGTACCGTAAGCGGCCTGAATAGCGAAGGATCGGCAGCATATGCTCACCCATTCGCAGGGCCGTGACTTGGTCCGGACGCAGTTGAAAGGTCCGACCGCCTACTGAGACAGAAACATTAACGCTATGCGACAATAGAAACGGTAGGAGAGTTTCTGTCTTTTCCAATATTTTCTTTTCTTTACTTATCAATTGGCTGATCAGTAGAATGTTTAGAATTGTATATGTGTATGTGTTCAACAGCTTGTGGTAAAGTGGCCACCTCCTTTGAAGTCAGTGGGATTCTAAAATTTACCCTCTCTGCTCAAAAGATAATAGAACGGTGGCTGAAAGGAGAGCCAGTAACAGATGCGGAGGATTTTTGGCCAGACCTTCATCACATTGCATCGGTTTTCCTGCAATGGTATAAAACGTTAATGATAACAACTAGTTCCCTCCTTGTAATCCTAGGGTTGACTTATCTTTTCCTCTCCACAATCGGACTTCGCATCCTGATGTGGGTAGTTCTCCTGATTCCAAAAGCAATAATTTATCTAGCAATAAATTTGCTGGGGAACTTATTTCCATCAAGAAATAAACCTAAGACTTCATTCAAAACAAAACTAAGTACTCAAATCTTGCAATGCGATCATTTATTATTTTAAGATTTGTATAATTTTTCACAATATTTGGTTGGTAGATTTGGGATATATTTTTTGCAGGATATCTTCCATGATAGCGTCCAAGAAGTCTATGAAGGAAGT